ATTCCTTTAGCTAAACTCGTTGTTTGTAGTTATATTTACACTATGAAATTGATCTGATTAGATTTGGGCCACTCGGAGTTGGATACTCGTGGCAAGAGCGTGGTTTCAGATTGATTGAGCTTGGTTCGAGGTAAGTGGCTTGCCTAACCTTGTGTGGGGGAAATCCCCTTAGAATTTTGGTACTGTTGTTATATGAATGTCGTGTACGTGAGGTGACGAGTGCGTACATGTGCTAATTGTTGAAAAAATCCATTTTTATTAAGTAAATATCTGTGTTTCCTTGTTAATTGAGCAATACTTGAGTTGAAGTCTCTTGTTAGGCTTAGGAAAGCATGCTTATGTGACTTAGCTGTCTTATCTGCTTTAACTGCTTACTTGAATTCTGTGTAGCATGTTTAGAGTAGAATTTCCTGTTTTGTTGATACGATCTTGAATAGAACTGTAGAATTCTTTCTTGAGACTGTTGTGTGTTTACTTTGGGATTACGGGAAGGTATCCCGGGAGATCCCCTTGCCTGTTTACTTTGGGATTACGGGACGGTATCCCGGGAGATCCCCTTGCCTGTTTATTTTTGGGACTACGGGACGGTATCCCGGGAGATCCCCCTGTACATTTACTGTTTGGACTACGGGACGGTATCTCTGGAGATCCTATATTCAATTAAGCTTGAGACTACGGGACGTTATCCTAGGAGATCCCCTGTCGCTATCTCTGTGTATTGAGTTTATTTCTTTCTGTGATTTAATATTTATTGACTGCTAGCACCTTTAATTATACTGTCTCATTTCACGTTATTTTACCTTATCATATATTTATATATATACAGTAGGGACCCGACCTTCCTCGTCACTACTCGACCGAGGTTAGGCTTGGCACTTACTAGGTACCGCTGTTGTGTACTTATGCCCTTTCCTGTACATGTTTTTCATGTGCAGATCCAGGTTCTTCTGCTCAGCCATACTATCCGTGAGGCGAGGTGACCCAGAGACTTCGAGGTATATCTGCCGCGTCCGCACACCTAGAAGTCCCTCTCTATTCTCCCTTTAGCTATAGACTTCTTGTATTTCCTTTTGTTTAGACTTCTGGAGTTAGAACACTATGTATTTTCTTTAGCTTGTGGTTCATGAGATTCCGGGTTTTGGGAGTGTTTTGTTCAGTTTGAGAGAGTGATATTGTATATGCCGATCGACATTTTAAACTTCTTTATTATGTTACCCGTAAATTGCTAGTTTTGTATCTTTATTTCCTTTTTACGTAATTTGTTAGGGTTACCTAGTCGTAGAGACTAGGTGTCGTCACCGACAGTTCATGGAGGGAGAACTTGGGTCGTGACAAGTTGGTATCAGAGCTCTAGGTTCATGAGAGTCATGAATCACAAGCCAGTTTATTAGAGTCTCGCGGATCGGTACGGAGACGACTGTACTTATCTTCGAGAGGCTATGTAAATGTTAGGAAAGTTCCACTTTATTTGACTTCCTTGTCATGCGAGATGTTCGGTATCAAAATTCTAAGCCTCTGTCTTCTATTCTCTCGCAGATGGTGAGGACACGTGCTACCGGAGATGACCAGGTACCCGCTCCCCCTGCTAGAGCCGCCAGAGGTCAGGGCCGGGGTAGAGGCAAAGGACGCGTGTGTGGTGAAGCCAGAGCACCGCGCGATTTGCCACGGAGGANGTCTTAACAAATGTACCAAATTGAACCTTATTTTCATGAGACATTTTGTTTTTCTACCTTTTTGGCGGTGGTGGGAGGTGGTGGGGAGGGGGAAGTTAAGGGTGGGAGCAGAGGCGGAGCCACATATATTCAAGAGTGTCAATCGACACTCCTTCGTCGAAAAATTACTCTATATAGCTAAACTTTTTCTAAAAAAATTATGTGTATATATTATACATATTGACATCCTTGGCCTTCTTTGTTTGTTACTTCTTCATATTTTAACCTTCTTTAGTAAAAATTCTTGCTCCGTCACTGGATGAGAGGAGAAGTATGTTTAATTTATCTACATCTTAAAATATATTTTACCTCTTAAACTTATTTCACATTTTCGTTACGAGCATCATTTTACTCCGTACAACTTATAAAAATTAATGTAACTATTACCCTATCGCGTGGCATGCACTTGTGGAACAAAGAAACACGTGCCGCAAATTAAGAGACAAGGAAAATGATCTCTTGTGGTCACTTACAATTTAAATAGAAGAAAATGACCTTATCAAATCTCTTATGTGTTATTTTTATATCTTATGTATAAAAATGAACATATTTTATAAAAAAATATAAAACTAAAAATAAATTTTTAAAGGACTATAAAATCAATTCTAGTCAACCAAAAATAAACATAAGGAAGGAGAGTCTGTTATTTTGTCAAGGAAATTAGAAAAAAATTGTTCTCCTCTGTATAAAAGGTTGACTCAACAACACTCTCAAGTCTAAAACTAAAAAAAGTAAGAAAAAACGGTATCAAAGTCCAAAGAGTCTAGAAATTTGCAAGTTAGGTTGTTTAAGTTTATTAATATAAAAATACCTTATCGTTAATTTCAAGTAGAATTTCACTAAATCAAATTTAGAATTTTTTTTTCTTAAAATAAGATCTAATAAACTTAAATTATAGGAGGAGTGATTAATTTAGTAAGTACACACTTTTTCAATAGTTTACGTTGAGAGTGTCTTTTGTCTTATTTACTTTTAATGTTTAATTTATTAGTATAAAAATGAGTACATGATTAGTTTTTAATTAGATGTTACTCGAAGCAAAAGTACATCCAATTGTACTCTTTTCTTTAGATATTCTAAAAGCCACTGCTCTTATTTTTTTTTTATTGATAATTTTCCAATATGTAAGAAAAATATGAAAAAAAAAGAATGATGTCCCTTTCTTCAATATCCTCAAAAGAAAAAAAAGGAAGAACAAAATAAATACAACTCATATTATATTATAAGGTATTCTTCTAGAGTTTGAACTTTATGAAGAAGACAGGCCTTATGGATGCTTCTAATAAAGCTTTATTTTCTGACCTTTTTCTTTTTTGAATAAGATACACATTTTAGTACTGTCAATTAGTCCAAGACATATTAAGTTAGGTATAAATACCAAAGGAGATTAGTCCTAATTTTGATTGTCTCTATCTCAAAGTCTCCTAGCATTATTAAAAAAAGTTAGAATCAGCTACAAACTTCGTCACTAGTTTGTCGCTAAATCGTTCATAGCTAAAATAATTTTTTGATAATCTATCGCTAATCCGTTGCTAGGTAAGATTAGCAACTGATTTTGCTATTTAGCTACAAAATTTGTTTGTCGCTAATTTATATTCTTTTAGTAGTTAGGTATCCTAAGGGATGTTGTAGGATTATAGATGAGATCCTTCTATTCTTAACTTCAGTTTTGAGTCAGAGAACAGAAAAATTTCTCCTACACCCCCCCCCCCCTCCCCTCGGCCTCTCACTTTGTTTTGTTCTTCTTTTGTATTGTTACTTGAATGAAACACCTGATCAGTCCGATTTTTCCAAATGTCCCTAAGACCCTTCTTTTTTATGTGTCCGGATTTTTTGTATCGTTTCAGTTGTCGTGGTCAACGAGAACATATCATATACGATGCAAATTTTAATTAGTTGGGTCAATAAATTTCGAATATGAGAATTCGAATTAGTTGGGCAAAAACTAGTTCATTTAGAAGGTTATGTCCTTTTGTGCATGGAAATATTCTCATAATTTCAACCATTTATTTTACATTTGGCAAGTAGTGCCGTCCTTGTTTACTTATTTGCCCAATTCTCTTTGTTCCTTTTTCTTCTCTCCAAATGTTATGGGTCTCCACTCTTCAACTTTTCATTCTTTTTTTTTTTTTTTCTAAAGAAAAATTAGGTAGTTTGACTAATTTTTAATTACCTAAAGTGATAAATATTGGAAGTTTTTTATTATAATATATAATTTAAAATTCTTAATTTTTGGTTTCATGGGTACCCACCATTTTCAGCCGTCCAATATATTGAAGGGTTGGTGATAAGTCAATTTTTCTAGTTGATAGGGAGTTTATTAAGTTATGTTTTTAATTAAAACTTGATTTAATTATGTAACGGTTAAAATTATTTTTGTTGGTTAGAAAGGAATCCAGTGGTTGTAACTAATCCAGTATTCCATTTTAAGTAATGGATTAATGGCTAAAATATAGCATGCTTTTAGAATTCTATTTAAAGAAAGTGATTTTTTTTTCTTTTTAAATGTTTTAAAATAATTTGATATAACCAACTCTGGATTCTACCATCCATTTACCTAAGAGATTAATTCTTTTTATGCTGAAATACTTTTCTTAGTGGAATCACAAATAGCTCAAACAGTAGCATATGTGTTATGTATATGAAGTTTTATCACTTAATTATGATTACGAAATATATAATTTCACTTTCATTAATTTGTAACTCTTTAAGTTAATTAATTGATGTAGTGTAAACACATGCTACGCCAAGGGCGGAGCTAGGTAGGCGGGAGGGGTTCGGCCGAATTTTCTTCATAAAAAATTGCATTGTATATATATAAGGTCAAACTTCTTTGTATGTTTACTTTTTTTATTTTTTGGACCCCTTTAGTAAAAATTCTGCTTCTGTCACTGGCTATTACTACCTATATAGTAACTCTAGGGTTCCTTGGTTTATACATTAGATATTGATTTTCCTTAACTTCTTCGTGTGTTTACTTTTTATATTTATTTTTTTGAATCCCCTTAGTAAAAATCCTGCTTTTGGCACTGGCTACTACTACCTCCATAATAACTCTAGGATTCCTTGGTTTATATAGGCCAAGTTTGATATGCACTAAATGATGCTATTATAACTTGATGATAAGTCAAAAGTGCATAAGACAACATTTAATTAAGGACAAATAAACAACTACAATCATACCCTCCTTCCAATTTTTAAAGTCAAAGGCTGGCCCTCTTTGAGAAATTCTTCCCCTCATTCCACACTACAAAAACCATTGCCACCCACTCTTTCCACAATGCAATAAACAAGAAACTTGTCTCTCTCTCTCTTTCTTTGCATCTTCCTCTTAATTCCTTCTATTCTTCTACTTACATACAATCCAAAATCTTTCTACAAAATGCTAGGCAAAAAGTTTGGTTCAATGAAGAAACTAGCCAAGAAAACTAAGCAACAACATGAGCAACTTGAAAACTTGCTTGTAAAAGATCAAGATGATCAAGATCAAGTGTCTACTCCTACAAGTGCTAAGTCCTCAAAAAAACAAGGAACTTTTGTTGTGTATGTAGGGGAAGAAAGAGAACGATTCGCGGTACCAACGAGCTATCTTTCTCATCCATTGTTCAAGATTTTGTTGGAGAAGACATATAATGAGTTTGGTTTTCAACAAACAAATGGACTTGTGGTGCCATGCAGTGTTGCAGCATTTCAAGAAGTGGTCAATGCTGTGGAATGCTGCAATGGGAAGTTTGATTTTGGTAATTTGGTAGAGGAGTTTCTATAAAGTAGCGCGATATTTATCATGTATGACCTTGATACATAAGAATTATATTAGTAATTGGGACGGATACAAGGTATATTGTTACTTTTGTATCACTTTTCGAGTGTGAGGATACAATAACAATAGCTAGAACGTTTCAGTTCCAAACAAGTTGAGGTCAGCTATTTTTCTAGTGTGAGGATAGCCTATGGAGAAATAGATTCAAGGATATATACCTTAAGGAGGTAATTACATTTTAAGTCTTAATTTTTTTTTTAATGCCAAAGAGATAGTGTAAATTAAGACACCCTTAATATCCTAGGTAAGCTTCCTTTTGCTTTTCCCATGAGGTAGACTTGGAGAGGAGAAAGCAGTAGAGAAGTAATCTTGGCATTTTGTTTTTCTCTTTAAATTAGTGTCAACTAGTTAAATTGTAAATTTGTAGTGACAAGAATTGAATGAGAAATATCCTTTGTTTTTTACTTTTTGCCCTTTCAATTTAAATCAATGTCAACTTAAGGATGTTCATCTCTATCATTTTAGTTTTTCTCTTCACCTTTTTTTCTTGTCAATTCACAAGTTTTTACCAAAGTATGTAGTAGTAGGCATAATTATCTAGCTAGTCAAAAGGATTTAACAATATTCAAAAGGGATAATTGTTAGTTTGATTTATCATCAAGAGGTGCATGCATGTTATATATTCAATTTTGATTTGGTCAAATATTAAATACTAAACACTGTGTTAGACAAAATTAGCCGAAAACAAAGGGGATTTTTACATTCCTATACCATATAGGAAACCTTATTACCCTCAATGTTTAAGGTTTGATATAATTATATTTAGTATACCAAATTACCAATTTTATACCATAGTGTATTTTAAGGGTACAATTAATGCAGCGTATATTCCTCCTTAATTCAAGGTACCGTATATCCCTCCCCTCCCACGTTTCTGTCTCCCAAACCCTCACCCTCACCCACGTTTTAGTGAGGGATTTCTTTTCTTCATGCCCTCTTTTTTCCTTCATATGTTTTTGATTCAGATACCAGGAGAATCTTTGACACCAGTACTTCTACATATTTAACTTGTAACATGGTCTGTTAATACTAAAACTAAAACTGTTCACTAGGCGTTCGGTTCTTTGAAATCTATGTAGCTTATCAGTTCAGAAATTGATTCCTGGGCTTCCAGAATGAGTATTGCTTTACGTTTCAGTTGGGTAGAATAGGTATGGTTGTAATTCAAGAAGTATGGTTGTATTGTATGAAGGATAATATGCAAACTATGAATACTTCTTTGAAATTCAAGAAGTATGGTTGTATTGTATTTAAAGAGGCGTGAATTTGTAGAATAGGTTGAATGTGAGGAATGAGTCAAATAAGACTCACAATGGCTTGTTTTCTACATTTAATCTACAACAAAACTACATATCATTTGAAAAATTAATATGAAAATACACAATTTCAATGTTTCTACAAAATATCTACAAACTGGGTACATTGAATTTTAATATCCCAATTCCCATTCAATTGTAGCATAATTGGGATTTTCAACATAATTGCGTTTTTTGCAGAAGATTTGTAGAAGTTTTAGTCGTTTTTGATTTGTGAAAACAGAAAACAAAGCATCTACAATCAGAATACAAATAATCTACAATTTATTTACAAAATATCTACAATTTATCTACAATTTGTCTACAATTTATCTATAATTTTTTCAATTTCTGCAATATGTCTTCTCTTCTTCTTCTTCTTCGAGTTTCAATCTGAAATTCAGTCAAAACCAAGTCTAATCTTCACCAAAATCCCTCAAAATTGAGATATAAACTCCAAACCATATTCCCGATTATTTTCAACAACACCCAATCCAAACAAATAATGATTTTTGAAAACCCAAATTTGAATTCAAAGCTTTCAAGCTTTTTAATGGCTGCCAATGGTGGAATTGCTGCTCTCTTTTCATTTGCTTTGTATTACTGAAATTTGCGATTGAGAAATAGAGAGAGATGTAGAGAGAATTCTGGAAACAGAGTGTATCGCAAAAACAGAGTATGAAAAATCTTTGTTCTGCGTTGTGGAAGATCAGAGTGAAGCCGACGATAATTATGGAATGTGCGTGATTTGCGTTGGGGAAGATCTGAAAAATATTTAATTCCCCTTTTTTAGCGCGCAAAATAATGAATCATAAAGCTACAGTGATTCCTTATTTAATGCATTGTATATATTAGGTAGAAATACTATTAGCATGAAGGGTAATATGCAAACTATGAACATATTTGGTAATATAGTTTCATATATGGTATATATACAAAAATTTCCCAAAACAAAGTAGTTGGCTGCATGTTAGTTGGAGGAAAAGTAAGTTTAGTGATTGACTCAGCAGCATTTTAGTGGTTAGGTAGTGTATTAAAAGGAACTAGACATGAATGACTCATGAATTTTTTTTAAAAAAACTTTATGCTATATATTTTTTTAATAGATATAGTGAATATGCTAATATCTCACCAAAAAAAAAATGTTCTACAGAATATAACTTCTATATCGATCTACCCATCCACTAGACTCTGGGGAATGTTTTTATTGTTTCTTACCCGGTGTCTAATACTCTCTTTAAATCGGCGATTAATCTGTATTTGTGTAGCGTTAGGTTCATTAAAGGGAGAAATGCTTTCTACCGGAATTTCTTCCATTTACAAAACATGAACCCAAACCTTTGATTAAAGGTAGACAAATTACAGGGAAGTAAGCACATAAGGCAGGTTAGTGTTACGGAACGAAACCTGAAGAGAAGTCTCAAAATGTGCTTGGTGGTTAGCTTCTTCCGTCC